ACAAGATCGAACAGCCACGCTGCTTCATGCGTGGGGGCAACAAACAAAAATTGCGTGTTTATTATTGGTTAGAGAAGCCGAAGGCGATTATTCACGATGCGCGAAGCGTAGGAAATATATTTGTGTCCAAGTTCTTGCGTGACCAAAATAGGGGTTGGAGCGACAGGCTCGAGCCCACACAGTGGAATGTGGTTTTAATTTTTTTTGTTGTGTGTACCACTACCATAGTTCTTATCCTGCTTAAAATTGAAAAGGACAATCGTGGTGACGCAACAGTCGCCATGGAAAACGAGGGACGTCTCTACAAGCAAGCCGATCTCCACGAACCAAGGCAAAGACCAGAGATAGAAGCGCCAATACAGTAGCGAGGATCACATAAAGAAGCTTTATCAAGTCAAAGATGACACTGACGTCCCTTAAACCGACGCGGACACAAACGAGCCTGAACCTGCATCCCTTGAGAGTCGGCACCATCCTACCCGCGGTCAATCGAGGAGAGGAGAAACACACAAGGCGAGCATCTCGAAGACGGCAAAGCGGCTGGCCATATTACAGGTGGCCAGGGAAGCCACAAACAGTCACCAGCGACCCAAATCACTCATGCGCACCGATTCGCCAGAAGACTTCAGAAAATGCACACTTTTCTATTGGCAGTCCGGCGTCACACTTCAAATTCGAAGCTTCGTGAAATAACCGAGTCGTCATAGACTGGATCTCGGGTGACGAAGGCAATCCGGGAAACAAAAGGTTGAACAACACTGTGATTGCGCAGCAGTACGGATGTACCCACTCACTCGCGGTTCCTCGAACCGCGAGAAGATAGACCCGGCATAGCGCGGTCTCAGACGAGGCATAGAGACATGATCTGTTAGCCTGCAAACTCAGGCTAATCTCCCTCCTCCCACCAGATTCTCACCCAATTTCACCGGGCTAGAGCCGATGGGAACAGGTGATTATCAGGTGGCATCAGACCAAGACGGCTATCACCCATAATCACTCCTTTCTGGCAGACAAGATTTTGCAGACCTACCGACCCAGACAACCTATGAATCGCCCCCAACATTGAACACTGTAGGGCCCTGGCGATATGTTCGCACTTCGTAATGCCCGTGTCCCACTAGAGCGACAGACAGAAACAAAAGACAGCGACAAGCCTCAAACCCATGCAGCATGCTCGCGATGGTACCTTTAGTAGGCGTTTAGTCGTTCGGTGCTCGTGAAGTAAGCACGAGAGATTGCTAGGCTGCCAAAGGTACCCTCGCGTTCATGATGCTCGTGTTTTAGCATAGCCTCCTTTATTCTACAAAGCCTCTCAAATCGCGAAAGACTCTGGTTTGAGGCTTGTCGCTGTCGTTTGTTTCTGTCTGTCGCTCTAGTAAGACACGGGCACAAGGGACTGGGCCGGGGTCTCGCGATATCGCGAAGCGTGGCATAAGCTCTCCCGAAGAGGAAACGAAGCCCACATCATACAAAGGATGGGCCCTCCCGAATATGGGAAACTCTCATAGAAAAGACATAGTGGAATCTAATATGGCGAATTCCACTGGTCGTTTTGGAGCGCGCCGGGATCGACTTTTCTGGAGCGGGCCTATTTCACTGGGCGATCGGGATTGAGACTGACATGTTTCACTGGTCGTTTTGGATTAGCTCCCGCTCCAGATCTCGATCTGGATCCGATGGCGAATTCCACTGGGTGTTTTGGAGCGTGCCGGGACCAGTTGACCAGATCCGGAATGGAGCTCACAATCCGAACGGGGTCGCGCCGGCGATGGATCCGCCTTGGAACATGACCACTGCTCTGGGATCGGTATTTGCCTTCATGTCATTCAACTGCCGGGGAATCCCCTTTCCGCGGCCGCCGCGGTCGTTTCGAAGACGTTTTCGCAATCGCGGCGCTAACACGTGTTCGACGCACGAGCGGCAGGAATGGCTCCGGAGCTTCTAGCAAAGATTGCCGGAATGCCCGTAGCGCGGCCAAAACCTTCTCTTCTCCTTCCTGGAAAACGCAACGGCTGTCGAGCCAAGGGTTAAAGGCCCTGTCACACTGAGGGGACAGTTGAACAACTCTATCCGGCAACACGGGGAAGTCTTGTTGCCGGCGACCCTGTCACATCGCGGCAACAACAACAGTCGGGCAACATGTTGCTGCCGCTCGGGAACAGTGTTACCCGATTTGTTGTCCGACAACCCTGTCACACCGCGCTGACGGCGAGGAAAACACGGGGAACACTCCGTCATCTTGATTGTTTACCTTCGTGTGCGGCGCGGAATCGCTGGAAATGTGACTCTACAAAGTGCTAGTGCGTTCGAAGGGTCGGGAATTACCACGGTACGACATCAACCAGGGACTGGGATTAGAAAACTTGACACGGGGAGTATTTTCCGCTCTTTATTTTATCGAGATGTTCTTCATTCGCTGACAAAGCAGGTAGCCCTAACCGAGGAAAATGACATCGCTGATATATGTTCGGCATATACGCCACCGTATGAAGTGTTTCTGTCCGGTTCTTTCATGCAATTCCTCTTTCTACTGTGAAATTGCGTTAGCACCGGCAGTACCCCAAACCGTCTTTTGTAACGTGGTGTTGAGCTGAACTGACAGTGCTTCAAAACTGCGACACCGACACCATCGGCCTTCATAACAATCGGTGGAATAAATATTTTTCAACGCTGTCTACTTGTCTACCGCCTGCTATGTGATCGATTCATTGGCCCAAAACGTCCTGGGTATTTTTGAAACAAATCAGGTGTCTGGTAGCGGTTGCTTCCAAGTTCCAAGCATCAACGTTTTCGCAATCGCGGCGCTAACACGTGTTCGACGCACGAGCGGCAGGAATGGCTCAGGAGAGTCTAGAAAAGATTGCCGGAATGCCCGTAGCGCGGCAAAACCTTCTGTTCTCTTCTCCTTCCTGGAAAACGAACGGCCTGTCGAGCCAAGGGGTAAGCAAGCGGCCATTACGATTTCTTCTGGGGCGAGATCAGGCGAGATGCCCGCGAGAAAGGAAGTCACGTGTGTGCGCCGAGGGCTGACCCGGCTGGCTTCCGGTTGAATCCGCCAAAATCGGGGGAGCGACTTTTCTCGGATCCAGATCGAGATCTGGAGCGGGAGGTAATCCAAAACGACCAGTGGAACACGTTCGTCTCGATCCCGATTGCGCAGTAAATAGGCTCGCTCCGGAAAAGTCGATCCCAGCGCGCTCCAAAACGACCCGTGGAATTCGCCACGAGAAAAGTCGCTCCCACGATTTCGGCAGATTTAACCGGAAGCCAGCCGGGCCAGCCCTCGGCGCACACACGTGACTTCTTTTCTCGTGGGGCATCTCGCCTCAGAAGAAGAAGAAGCACGCCGCGGGCTGGGCTCCTAGATTGTCTCGACATCAGAAGAATTCGTAATGGCCGCTTGCTTACCCATTGGCTCGACAGCCGGTTCGTTTTCCAGGAAGAAGAGAAGGTACTTGCCGCGCTACGGGCATTCCGGCAATCTTTGCTAGAGGCGCCTGAGCCATTCCTGCCACTCGTGCATCGAACACGTGTTAGCGCCGCGATTGCGAAAACGTCTTCGAAACGATCGCGGCGGCCGCGAAAAGGGGATTCCCGGGCAGTTGAATGACCGGAAGGCATCCGCCGATCCCGGAGCAGTGGTCATGTTCCACTGGGGATCCGTAGGCGGCGCGACCCCGTTCGGATCTTGTGCTCCAATCCGGATCTGGTCGACTGATCCTGGCGCGCTCCAAAACGCCCAGTGGAATTCGCCATTAGAGTTTCTCCGTCTATGAGGGCTGGCGAAGCATATGTGGCTACCTTTTTCCCTCCCCCTTCCTTCCCTTTCACCCCAGATGGCGTTAATCAAGAAAAGATGATATGAATCGTTTTCTGAGAAGCGATACATACATATTGTACTACTACTACTACAGGGAAACAGTGAATGCATTTTGTACTACGACTTATCTCAAAACAAACACAGTTGGACAACAAACTCGAGAAAGCGCCCCAACTAGGTCGTTCTCCTTTCCATTAGATCTTATGTATCCCATTCAGCGTACTATGTTACATGCACGCCTGTATTCATTCTTGCTTAATCTGTGCCTGGGTTACTGCCAGCATGAAAGTATATGTAAACATTTTATGTCTGTCTTTTTAGGTGTTGCTACTCCGCAAATTTTAATATTGTACGACAAATACTGGAACCGCGTGCGACAACACAACGTAAAAGAATATACATATTTATGTTAATACGTTGAGCAAACATATATAACCTCGATAAACATATCTCGAAAAAAGGGCGCATGCCTAACCAATCTTCATTTGACATGTAACTACTGGAAGTAGCTATTTTTTTGGAATATAATATCAATACAGAGTTGTAAATTAGGCTTTTATTCATTAAAATTCGAGATATTTCACTATATAAATATCAAAGCAGTAGTAAAGTAACTACGCTGTAATAGCAAGCCATATAATGAAACTAAGCGAGTAACATTTTAGACAAAACCCCGAGACTGGGGAAAAAATGAGGGACGATACAAACACAGCGAGTACATGGGTTTAAATGCGCCTATTGTGTCTAAACAGAAAAAAACTCACAGCCACAATAAGATTATGTCTATGCGAACGGCATTCCAGCGGCTGATCTATTTTTTTTTCAGCCAGCTCTCCACCAGGATTCCCTACTATGACTCAGTCAACGGCAATTTCGACGCTAATTGGGGAGGCTTTAACCAAAATGCTAGTTAAATAGTTAAACCGATAGAGGTTGTCTCTATACACTCCGTGCAACGCGACCGGCGCGCCGCCGGGCGGCCGTCAGAGAAGACAGTTGACGAGAATCCGAGCAGACGACGCTTCGCCGCCGCCATTCCAATCCGGCCGCCGCGGTTCGCTCCTGCGTCGTTAACGCGCTGCTAATTCGTGTGATGAATTGTTGCGTGGTCGGTTGTACCAACAGGTACACATCGCGCCCCACGGGGACGACGCTTCACCGTTTTTCAACTCGCCCGTGCTTCGTCGGGCAGCGGCAGCAGTGGATCACGGCCGTGCGACGAAAGAAGTAAGTTGGGTTCCCGGGTTCCCGCGCGATCGTGTCTGCGGTGTCTGCTGTCGCTCTCTCTGCCGCCTCGCGTTCTGTGGTTTTGTTTCTCTTGTGTTACTAGGGTTCCCGCGCGATCGTGTCTGCTGTCGCTCTCTCTGCCGTCTCGCGTTCTGCGGTGTTGTTTTTCTTGTGTTACTAGGGTTCCCGCGCGATCGTGTCTGCTGTCGCTGTCTTTGCCGTCGCGCGTTCTGCGGTTTTGTTTTTCTTCTGTTACTAGGGTTCCCGCGCGATCGTGTCTGCTCTTTGCCGTCTCGCGTTCTGCGGTCTTGTTTTTCTTGTGTCACTAACGTCTGTATATTTCAGTGCCGACGGAACAGACTGGAAGCCCACTCGGCACACGAAGATATGCAGCGTCCATTTCGTTGGAGGTGCGCCGTCCAAGGATGTGTCTTCACCGTCGTACGTGCCGATGATATTTCCGGACGTGTACCTTAAGCGGTCCGTGCTTTCGGAAGATAAGGCTGTACGCTATGAGAGGTGAGAACTCCGCGAAATAGGCACTTTCTTTTTTAACTAGCATTTTGGGTGTTGGACAATGTCTGGTGGTCGCGGCTCCACAGAGAGTTCCGAAAATTGACAGAGAAATAGGGCGGGGGTCGCCGGACGGCCCTCGGAAGCTTTCAGAGGTTGCGGACCCACAAAGTTTCCGCAGAGCTTGGCTTGCACGAGAGTTCGCTCAAAAAAAGAACAGCTCAGTGAGCTCGCGCAAACGAGGTAGCCAAGAGCGCACCATGAGTGGTGGATAGTTCTAAATAGCAGTGCATGTAGCCATTATTGGAGCAATGAAACGTACAAAGTGTACAGCAAAAAGACAAATTTACATGCGGAACAGAAATCGAGTCTGTTCCTCTTAAGAGATTTGTTGAAGTCTTTGTTTTGGTCTTTTGCCGGTGCCCATCTGGGAGAGAGGGGAAGGGGGGGGGGAGCATATTCATGATACCTGTTGGCTGTAAACGAGATGACGAGATTGCACCAACCTAAAGCAGGGGGGCTATGTTGCACGTTTCTGACTCCAGGAGACTAGGGAGAAGGAAGTGACGTCAACGACACAGCAAACGCAGATTGGATGTTGACAGAAGAAAACAAAATCAACATCCAATCTGCATTTGCTGCGTTGTTGATGTCACTTCCTTCTACCTAGTCTCCTGGGAGTCCAAAGCGTGCAACATAGCCCCCCTGTTCTACTGCCGCACTTCAGTCTGCGCGTGCTACGTCAGTTTGAGGCAGGCATTGCTGCTTACAACTGTTTGAAAACTTACGGCAGTTGCACCCACCCCCACCCTAATTAGACTGAGGTTTTCTCATTCAATGTCAGCCCGCACAGTGCTTGATCGGGGAAGTGACGGTGTGAATTTTTCTTTTGAGAATGAAGAAGCGGAGGACGGCCGCAACAGCTGTTGCAAATCTCGCCCACTCCTCAACATCCTCGCCGAACGTGCCGCAAGCTGCACCACCTACGGCCACCATGGACGTGCCAGCTTCTCTAGCAACAGCAGTCACACCCCCGCTGGAGGAACCTGAAGGCACCGATGAGAATAATGAACCCAGAGAGCTGCAAGGACTTGAGGTAGATTCTCCTGTACTACCGTAAGATACCAAGCAAGTGCCCACTCAAGATTTGGAGATTATTGAAAAAAACGTAGGATGGGTGCTTCTCAGGTTTGAAAGCTAAAAGGCAGAACAGACATATTGTCACGAATGACAAATGATAAAGTAGTAAGTAACTCCCTTACCGTTTGTCGCATCGCCATAATTTTTTGGAATTTTGGGATGCTTAGGGCAAGTTATCACCAAGAACAAACAATCTCAGTATCCTCTTTAGTGCACATTTAAGGCCGGTTCACACATTTCCGTTTGACTGCACTGTGTAACGCTGCGCTACGCTGCGTTGAGCAGTGAATTGCCTCCCCACGGCCTGCTATGATAACCGAGCGTCCGGCAATGCATGAGCACATCCACGCCAGCCTGCGACTCCTTGCGTCGAGTTAATGAGGAGCAGAAAGCGAACCCACTCGCGGGAGGTTCGCCTCTATCGGGAATGCAGGTACAAGTACATCGCAGCAGACCCTTGTGCTATATAGGCCCAGCTCTCGTAATTGCCTGAATGAGCAATGTAACCCCAAACGCACTCAAAGAATAGATCTCTCACCACATCAGACAAGTTTGGCGTGGTCGACATCGACTTGTGCTCAGCTGCGGCCATCTTGCGAGATGAGCGGATGGGAGCAGCGATGCAGGGCACCAAGCTTTTCCATCACAGAGCTGTCTGGGCAAGTCGCTTGCTATTGGCTAACTCAAAGAGCTTCTTTATGGTTTTCTATTGGTTGTTGACTGCGCACGACTGTGTTTGGATGCACGTCAATTTTTCTAGCACAAGTTGACGCAGCAGAGAACAGCACACCGCAGTGAAGTGCTAATGTGTCAAGCAGCCTCTACTGCCTCCTTTAAAAAGCGCATCGCCCGATGCAACACAAAACAAAACCAAGTAAATCAAAAGAATGGTGCACTGAAAAGTAATCTGGAACAGGAAACATTTACAGTCCTATTGAGCGTAAAACAGCTTGAGAAAAACAATGTTGACCACCTCGGGCGGCAAATGGCCACAAGAAAAAAGCTGTGTTTTGTCAGGCGCCACTTCGAAGCTGAAGTCACCCAGGCGGTGAAGAACCTTGTAGGGCCCAATGCCCGCTGCTGTCTTGTCCCAATTAAAAAAAACCTGCGATGGTAGTTCCCTTCTCGTTCGCCACAATAAATCTTCATTCAGTTTCACATAGTTTCCCAGGGATGCTGTCGCCGTAGGTGACCCTTGTGAGGGCCTTCGTGTCTTGGTGTGACTGGTTAGGGCTTTTTGAAGTGGCGTAAAACTGGTGTTCTAGGTTAAGATAAAGCTAGAAAACACCTTGTTCTCTTTTTGGAAAATTGTAACATGCCATCAATTTTATGCAGGTCTCAACTCAGACTCAACAGACATCGCAAGCCCAGAGCGAAGGGGTCCTGCTGATTGCCTGCACCCTGTTCGCCGGTGCATGCGAGGCATCCACGCAGGTTGCGTTCATTGCATCTGAACTACCTGCAACAGCCGATGCAAGTGTCACAGCATTGTGTCTGGAGGACCACCAGCCTAGGGGTTTCTATGGCTACCAGTCCTTGGCAGACAAAGAAAACGACGATGCTCTCAGAGACCTCACTGGGGTGACCATCACGGTGTTCCTGGCTCTGTTGAGCCTCTTACCACGGGTAAATATTAGATCTGCCTACAAATTAGTTCAATGAGGGCATATTCACAAGTTGCTCAATTTAAATTGGACAGAAAGATAGATATGGGGCTTATGTCCTGCATGTTCATCTAAAAACGCAGCATTATTATATTTCAACGTTTTCCCTTAAAAGTTTCAGTTTTCTTTTTAGTTTTTTTTTTGTTGTGGATAATGGATTGCACAAATGCGTACAAGATGTCTAATAATGATAAACAAAATATACACCAACCAAATCCTCGTTTAAAGGCGAAACCCTACTTTCGAGACCTGCTCGGTCTCTTCTTCAGGGGTTGACTGCGGCTATGGCCAATGAGGAGCAGTATTCTGTTTTCTTCTTCTTCTACGACAGTGTCTATCGTTTTGCATCGGTGAGGTGGCGAAGTCCATTCACGTAGCCGGTCGGCAGAGTGCCGAGGGATCTATTTATGTTTCCTGGCGTCGTTTGTATGTGCCAGGGTTCAATAAAAGGTCTATGTCTGGGATTCGTCTCAACAGCCAGGATGCTGGTGTTGGCAAAGTCATTTCTGCGGTCCTTGACGTCGCAGTGCTCAGCTACGCCGCTTCGTTCATGGTCGAACTTTCGGACATCGTTCTTATGCTGGCGGATTCTCTCCTGAAAGTTCTTCGTTTCCCCGATGTATGCGACCGGGCAGTCCTCGCAGGGAATTTGTATAAATGGACGCCTTGTGCTTTTTCCTTAGGCGGTCAATCCTTTGGACGGGGCATGAGTCTTCCAAGCGTAGACAGCGGCTTGTGGGCCACCTGGATCCCTTCTTTGGGCAGTACATGCGCCAGCGCCTCGCTTGTACCTTTTATGTAGGGAATGCTGATGCGTGAGGTAGGACGGCTCCGTGTACTTGCTGGGGGTTGCAGGTGTCGGCGATCCCGGGCTTGATGACGTGCAATGCGGCGGATGAAGCTGCTTGTATAACCGTTACGTTGTAGGTCGGCGAAGATGGTGTGTTCCTCTTTTTTACGGTCACCCGAAGGAAAAATCTATCAATGTAACCCTGCTTGGCAGTCAATGTTTTCTAGTGGACCGCTGACTGTGCCTAACTGTACGTCAAACATGTCTGATTGGCCAACAAGTTACTCTGACCGACAGTCAAACTCCAGTCAGACTCCACTTGTCGGCTTTCTGATTGTTTCCTGGTGGCAGTCGGCCGCCGCGAAATGCCATCAAGATGTCTTGGTGGCGATTCTGATTGTACATCGATTGGCTCTGACTGTACGTCAAAAAGCTTTGACGTGCAGACAGACATACGGTCAAAGGACGTACAGTTCGTTCGGATACCACTATTTCGTCAAATCTATGAATACGAAAAATAGTGTATGCACCAGAAAACGATTTCGGGACGTGAGCCCATAAAACCGCTGATGTTAGAGATATGACACGCAGCCGACCGACAACCTTGATCAGAAGCCCGCCGAAACGCCGAAAACGCCACTTCGCTGACTTCGGTTCGCCCATAGAGGCTTCGCCGAGCTTTCATGAACGATCGCTCTCGACTCGTTTTAATTGCCCGCTTGCTCCAACCTTACGATCCTGCCCGGGATCTACAGTGTTTTATGTTTTAGTAGAATTTCTACTCGATAAGACCCAGCCTGTTGTGAGTTCCGACGATGTAAGGGACTTTAGCGGTGTAGTTGAAGACGACAAGGTGTACCAGGTCTACTGGGCCGGAGACGCGCGAACAAAAGGATCGTTCTACGGCGCGAAAGTACTCTACATGGCAGGTGAGTAGAACTGAAGTACGGCGAGTGATGTACGAGTGCTTTGCATAACATGCTGAAGTCTTAACTGCATTTGCAACCGTAGCATCTCGTATAAAACGGATGGTGAAATCGAGTTCTCTAAGAAACGGCGTAGCATAGCGGTTACGGTGTCCGATTTGTACGCAAGTGGTCGCGGGTGCGATCCGCGGTGGTCCGGTTTTTTGTTTTTCTTTTTTTTTCTCGAACATTTTCTTTTATCGATTGGTTGATTGGTTGATTGGGGTTTTTTGGCACATCAGCATCTAAGGCCATAATGCGCCAAGAGTCTGAACTATTGCAGTAGAGGGTTAGAGAGAGGAAAGAGCTATAGTAGCAGGTGATGTGATAAAAATATGGACATGCATTTGTATAAGTGTAAAAGGTATGGTCATGAGATAGGGGTGGAAAATAAAATCAGTCGGTGTATAAGGCCGATATCAGTAAGAAACTTAAATAAGCAAACATGAGAAATAAGTGGTTCATCACCTAGCAGCAGGGCTAGGTGTAGTGGGACATGTTCTCTATATAGTTGTGAGAAGTGTTTCTGACGGTATTGATTAAAAGTGCGACATTCAATTCAAGTTTCAAGTTTCAAGTTTCAAGTTTATTTTTCTCTTCAATGAAGAGTGGGAGGATGGGAAAAAAGCAGTAGGAACTGCTTGACAGAGTCCCTTCCTCCCCTTCGGCAGCAACAGCAGTCATCGCAGAGTAAACAATCTCAAATACAAAATTAAACAAAACAGTAACGATACAAAAATAACTATAGGTACACTATTTTGACTAGTTAAAATATTACAATTCAACAAATCTGGAACGTAAGCACTTTTTGGAAATGACTTCAACTTCAACACCCAAAAGGGACATAGTATTTAAAACTTTAGGTAGCCTATACTGCAGCATCTGGTCACCATAATTGGTTCTTGAACGAGAGACTATCCAGGTGTCAGCGTGTCGAACAGCATATGAAATCTGCTTTGTTTGTAAGGAGGACAGGGAAAGGAAGATACTGTCTGGCTTATTTAATGCTGTTTTGTACATGAGAATAAGTTTATAGTCATAATAATTTGTTATTTTAATCAGGCCTAATCTTTTGAACATGGGTGTTGTGTGGCTACAGTAAGCCTCATTGCAGATCGCACGAATTGCTTTTTTTTGTAACAAATAAAGAATGTTAATATTCGAATAAGTAGAATTTCCCCATACCAAAAAGCAATAATTAAAACAAGAATAAAACAAAGAGTTGTAAATAAGAAGAAATACCGATGAAGGTAGTTTTTCCCTGCACTTATAAATGATACCCACTACTCTTGATAGCTTTTTTGCAGTAGACTGAATGGACTCATCCCATCGCAAATATTCGTTAAACATTACCCCAAGCACCTTAACTGTCTTAACCATTTCGATAGTTTGTGCACCTAAGGTAAGGGCCTGCTGCTGACATATATTATTTATTCCTTTTGATCTAAAAATGACAGACTTTGTTTTTTTACTGTTTATAACTAGTGAGTTAGAAATAGTCCATTCATTCAGTTTATGAAGAAACCGATTACCAGCTTCTATCAATTCAGAAGTATTTCTGCCCGAGAAAAAAATGGAAGTATCATCCGCATAAATTATCATATGCACCTTAGAGTCAATATTTACTATATCGTTGATATATAAGTTAAAAAGAAGCGGCCCTAAAATACTTCCTTGCGGAACGCCATTTTTCATTTGTCTACTATTAGAGTGGTAGCCATCTATTACCACCATCTGAAACCGGGATTGCAAGTAACTTCTTATAATGTCAAGAGCTTTACCTCTAACGCCGTAAGCTAGCAGTTTTTGTAGTAAGGTTTCATGGTTAAGGCGGTCAAATGCCTTCGAAAAATCGATAAAAATTCCTAACGTAAGAAGCCTGTTTTCAATATTGCTAAGAATTAGTTCCTTTTGTTCTAATAGGGCTAATTCAGTTGAACAGCCCTTACGAAACCCATACTGATGAGGAGATAGTATGGAATGCTTTTCACAAAAACGATATAATCTTTTATGAATTATTTTTTCTAATCCCTTAGAAAAAATTGGCAAAACAGAAACCGGCCTATAGTTTCCCAGTTCGTTTTTATCCCCTGTCTTATAAAGCACTGACACCTTGGCTACCTGCATTTTACGTGGAAAAATGCCAGTCTGAATCGATAAATTGAAAACATACACTAAAATCGAAGCAATCGATTTGATTACGTATTTAACAGGTTTTATTTGGATATCATTAATGTCACAACTTTTACTATTTTTTAAACATGTAAAAATAGAAATTACTTCCTCCTCATCCGTTGGGAAAAAGAATATACTTTCTGGGACACTTTTAACATATCTCGTAGCTTCAGTTGAAGGAACACTGTTTACTAAATCTACAAAAAAATCATGAAATGCATTTGCCAAAGTAGCTCCGGTTTTTATTTCATCTTCAATTGTTAGTTCAGTAATTGGTTCCAATTTATTACCTTCATGCAGTATCGCATTTAAGTTCTTCCACACAACCTCCGTTCGCTTCACATTTAGAAATAGAGAGTTGTAGTATGCTCGTTTTGACCGTCGTAACTCACTTGTTATTCTATTTCTTTGCTTTCTGAAAGCTGATAAGACAGTCAAGTCTTTAGTGAGCACAAATTTTTGGTAGAGTGTATTTTTTTTCTGCATCATTTTTAATATATCGGGTGTAACCCATGGTTTTCTGCACTTCTTGCTATTAACATACCGTTTATATTGAAAATTACAATTATATATGTTGGAAAATGTTTCAAGAAAACTTTCATATGCTTCGTCGGCCGACACCTTGGAAAAAACAGAATCCCAGTTGGTATGACTGATCTGTTCTCGAAACCGCTCGAGGTTTCTATGACTTATATCTCTGTAATAAAACTCACGAGAATGCTTTTTCTTGTGATTAACACTTGAATCAATGAACATGTAAATAGGAAGATGATCACTTATGGTGGCCCCGATCACACCAGCATGTACATCTACTTCGAAAACGTTTGTCAAGAATAAATCCAGCAATGTTTGATTCTGAGCGGTGAAAAGCGTAGGTTCGTTGATAACATTAATATAGCCATATGATTGGTACAACATCGAAAACTGTTCACGTTGCCGTGTCGGTTCCAGCATATTTATATTAAGATCACCTCCAAGGACACATTTAAAATGCCTTTCCCCCCAAAAATTGAAAAACGTTTCTAGGAAAGC